ACAGGGAATGAGAGGTTCAGCCCACAACTACTCCTCTGTGGGGTGCTGCAGGGCTTGGTATTCTCCCCGTTCTTTTAGCACCTACATGAAACTGCTGAATAAAATCATCTAACACCATAGCATGAGATACCCTCAGTATGCAGATGATATTCAGCTTCAGATCTCATCCCTGGTGATCTAAGTGATGTGGCTGCCCTTTCACAGTGCCTGAAGGCTGGGAGATCTGGATGGAGGACAACAGGCATCAGCTAAACCCTGGCAAGACAGAATAACTGTGGATTCAACAGGCCCCTGGATTTGAATATTTATTATCTCTCGTCCAAGATGGGGCTGCACTACCCCAGATAGACCTGGTGCACAATTTGAATGTTTCCCTAGATTCATGACTCCTGCTCAAACAACAGGTGGCAATCATGGCAAAGAGGACCTCTGCATAATTTCATGTACAACAGCTGAGCCCTTATCTGGATCGTAAGATCCTATGCACGGACCCTGGTCATCTCTCAGTTGTATTATCACAAAGCATTCTACATGAAGCTACCCTTGAAGAGTATTCAAAAGCTACAGGTGATGCAGAACAGAATAACAGAATTGAAAGGGACCTTGGAAGTCTTTTGTCCAATCCCCTGCTCAAGTATACCATTCCAGACAAATGGCTGCCCAATTACTTATTTCAAATCTCCAGTGTTGAAGCACCAACAATTTCTGGAGGCAAACCATTCCACTAACTAATCATTCTGTCAGGAAATTTCTCCTTAGTTCTGGATTGCATGTCTCCTTGATAAATTTTCATTTACTACTTCCTGGCCTGCCCTCAGGTGCTTTGGAGAATAGGTTGACTCTCTCTCATCTGTGACAGCCCCTCAAATATTGGAAGACTGCTATTGTGTCTCAAAAGAAGAAAATGTGGATAACTGATGTAGCAATACCAAATGATAGCATAATAGAAGACAAAGAATTGGAGAAAAATCACAAAATATCAAGATCTGAAAATCAAAGTTGAAAGATTATGACAGAAACCAGCTATGGTGGTCCCAATGGGTGTCATACCAAAAAATCTTGGACAACATTTAGAATATCTGCACACTGACAAAACTTCCATCTGTCAATTACAAAAGGCTATATACTGCTTGGCTCTGCAAATATACTTACATTATGACATCCTAGATTCTTGGAAATAACTCAGTGCATATGAAGGCCAACAACAGATAAAAGACCTGGCAGTTGTGATTTCAGATTGCTGCATATAATAATTATATTCACCTACCATTTCTCTTCTTTTACATGCTCTTCTTTTAATTGAAATTATAGCCATAACAGAGAAACCTAATAACAAAGGTATTATGTGGGTATGTGACACTTATTACTTCAAATCATTTAGTAAAATGGGGTGCCTATCTTAAGGTAAAGCATAAGCAGCAAATTTAAATCTAGAAAAAAACAATTAAATACTATTAATTATATTCATAGGTTGAAACAGTATCATAGCAAAAACAGTTTCAAAGCAGCATAGAAAGAAAGCGATCTTTACTACTGTTTCATAGTGCAAGAATTCTGGTTAAAGAGTAAAACAACTTTTAGCTTTGTCACTTCTGTACATTAGAAGTATAAATAATAATGAGACTCTCAAACAGGAAACTATTCAAAAAACAGGAAAACCATTTACCAAAAATGCCAAAGGTTGAACCTCCTTCACATTACAAAATCAATCTAGCAAGTTACAGCCATCTCATAGCAACCTCCTGTTGTTTGTTATTTTTAGCTACCTAGTCTGACAACACCCAGCAACTAAACAAGCTCAGAATAGTACAGAACAGAGAAATTATCTTCCACTAACAATAAAAACACACAGCCCTAATCCCTTCCTTTCATAAGGATGAATCGATGTTTTCCATGTCCTTAGAGCATCCCACATTGTTTCCCCTGAAATATTACATTTAAATACCAAATAAAATTAGATAACACTTTCTTCAAACTATGTTTTGTTTACTTGTTGATTATGTTTATTAAAATGAAAGATTTTAAAATATATTTTTCTCCTAACAACTACTACTTTTCAGGCTGCTCAAAACAAACCTGTTTCTCTTTAGTATTTTAACCATGATGCTTATGATTTGTATGTTAAAAAATTCTAAGTTCATTGGCTGTTTTTCTGGTGATCAAGACTACAACATTACACATAATAAATTTGTATAATGCAATGGCACAACTAATAGCGTTTTGGGACAGAGCTTGTTTAAGTAAAGAACAATTTAGAAAATAGTAGCCATGTCAATATTTCTGTACTCTCACAGGGGCTTACCAAAGGGGTTTAGAGGTACCAGGAAAAAAATTCTGACTTTCACAACTCACTGTAAATTATACATGTCAGGTTGACTTGCAAAATTTCCTACAGAGTACATCAAAATTACTTGTGTTGAGTCTGCTAAAAGAAAGGGCATGTCAGCATTCCAACCAAACTCTCCATCTCAAATCAGCACTCAGAGACAAAGTCCATCCAAATAAGAATTTATTAGAGAAGTTATATTGACACATCTGGGAAAACCGGAATCTGAAATCCCGTGTTTTCCCCTGCTAAATTAAACTCACATCCAACCCACTTACTGATGACCCTCAAGTCACACTCTTCAATCCACCTCCATTCTGAACCCCTGCCAAGTCCAGTCACTCCCCTCCAAACTCCAGCAACTTGGCCGAAAGAATTAATGTCATTGTGGCTATCTTCCCTCCTCACTTTACTTTCATTCCCACTGTTACCCATCCTCCTTTGTGGCAGCCCCAAATCAAAAAGAAAGATGGATGGGGGCTGACAGGGCAGACAAATTGACTGTGCACCTCACAGAAGGAAATGATCCATTACTGAATGATGATCCAAATTTCAGGCAATGTCTCAGAGCTGCTTTTGATGATTTGGCAGAAAAGCAACAGCAAATTAAGAGATTTGCAAGCCGAAACAAGGTAATTGAAGTGTGCTTAATCCATACTAAGTTTTAATTATTTACCAAAGATGTGAAGTAGCATTATTTGGATTTGAGAGACCAAGGACTTCTTGATGAAATGAGAGTTGAATTAATAAGATAAGGTATCTCAAAGAATTTAGAAAACCTAATCTTTGCTATATATTTTGGAGCTCTATAATCCAAAATTATTTAGCTATTAATAAAGTCAATATGATAGAACATATTAAGACCATTATTATGTTTTCCAAAACCATATAACATTGGTTTTAGATTAAAGTTTTAGATTAAGGAGACTAACTGGAGCAGCTTCATTATTACACATGTAACAAAGTTACATTAACACATGTTAATTTTTTGTTGAATAAATTACTGAAGAGCTAATTTTCATAGTTCTTTTGTTCAACTACATCACCTTTATCTTTACATACTGTTTGAATAAAGATAAAATATTAGTAAGTCGACAGATGCATTTTAAAAATGCATGGGATGTAATTGTTTTTTATATAACTCATACATGTAAATTGTTTTACATTACCAGCATAACAAGAGTTTTTTAAAACTTTCTCTGAGGATCCGAAATATTTTCTTTTGATTAATCTTATCATATGAACAAAACTTAACATTCTTTGAGATTATTAATCACTTATATCTTATTATTTCTATCACTTATTATTTCTATAGAATATTCCAACATTCTATTCCAAAATTTATCCAAATAACTATTATCACCTTCCAGCAATAAGCAATCTGTGGCAGATAATATACTATAGATAACTATAAAAAATACAGATAATCCTCGATTTATACCCACAATGGAACCCAAAATTTCTGTTGTTAAGTGAGACATTTGTTAAGTGAGTTTTGTCCCATTTTACAACTTTTCTTGCCACAGGGGTTAAGTGAATCATTGCAGTTGAAAAGTTAGAAACATGGTTGTTAAGTGAATCTGGCTTCCCCATTGACTTTGCTGGTCAGAAGGTCGCAAAAGGGGATCACATGACCCCGGGACATAACGATGGTCATTAATATAAATCAATTGCCAAGCACCTGAATTTTGATCACGTGACCATGGAAATGCTACAATGGTCGTAAGTGTGAAAAACAGTTTTAAGTCACTTTTTTCAGGGCCGTTGGAACTTTGAATGATCATTAAATGAACGGATGTAAGTTAATGACTACCTGTATACAGGTAGCCCTCAACTTACCACAGTTCATTTAATGATCATTCAAATAACGTCACTGAAAAAAGTGGCATATCATTTCAATTCCAGCAACCGGTATGCTGCCCGGTTGCTGGGTGGGCATGGCCATGGGTGGGCGTGGCCTACCATAACTTCCGGGAGGGCTGTTTTTTGCCCTCCCAAGGATCTGGAGGCCTCCCCCAGGGCTTTGGAAGGGTGAAAATGGCCTCTCTTGGGCTCTGGAGGCCCCCGGAAGCTGGAAACAGGCCCATTTCCGGACTTCCGATAGGCCCATTTTTCCCCCTCCCAGAGCCTCCACATGGACCCTGCACTTACCTGCATCACATGGAGGGGAGGGACCGGGCCAGCCAGTCGGTTGAAATACCGGTTTAGCGAACCAGATGAAAACTTAACATCTGGTTCACCTGAACTGATCCGAACCGGTAGAATCCCACCCCTGCTTATGACAATTTTTCACACTTGACCACTGTAGTATTACCATGGTCATGTGATCAAAATTCAGATATTTGGTAACAATTCATATTTATGATGGTTGCAGTGTTCCGCAGTCATGCAATCAGCTTTTCCAATCTAATAAGCAACACTCTCTTTTCTTAACCGCAGACCAATTATGCTTTTATATTTTGTGTCATTTCTCAGGCTTCACAGGGAATTTCCAGGCACACTTGTAAAACAAGAATTACTACTAGCTGTCCCATACTGAAAAATCCATTCTGCAAATGCATTTCATACAGATGAACTATATCAGAATAAAGAATGCAAAATACATACATACATACATACATATGCAAAATACATACATACATACATACAATCATTTTAGATATTCCAAACTTACCTCCAGTTCCTTAATTTTTTCTTCTGCCATTTTTTGTTTTTCTAACAGCTGATTGTGAATTACTTCTTTGGGATGAAGGATAAACCTACAAAAGTATGAAGGGAGAAGAAAACAAAACAATCCATTTTATACAACATTTACAGATACAGTCCTGTAAATTACCAAAAAAAAGTTCAGGGTTTTTTTTGTATATTGGTATATTGGCTCTTACAGCAAAATACATAAAATGACAGAACTTATTTAAATTCATAGTAAAGCTACTGAGTTTCACTGTATAAGGTTTCTGGCTATTCAAGACAGTTTTTGTTAAGTAGTTAAATATATTACAGCAACAAACTGGAAAAAAGTAAATACCCAGACTTGAAAACCTTGTAATGGTTAAAGGCACCAGGCTGGAAGCCACGGTGAGTTCTAATCCTGCTTTAGGCAAAAAGCCAGCTGAATAATGGGCTACTCATCCTCTCTCTCAGCTCTATGAAGAAAGCAATGAAAAAAAAATTCATGGACTTGTCCAGGGAGCATCCAGGATTTAAGACTGACTCAAAGATTTTTTTTAAAAAATAAAGCTATTAATAGTATTGTAAGAATTCAAAACTTGATTAACATTTTCAACCTGAAATATAAATAAGTCACTGCTACAGTAAAGACTGAAAAGCATATATGAACAATACTTAAAAGATTCTTAATAAGGGCTACAACAACTAATAAATGCAAAGTGATTATCTGAAAATTTAACTACCCTAATTGAAATTATATTTCTGGATTACTTTTTTGTTCTACTAGAAATTTTGAAGACTTAATTCACAACACCTCTAGCAGACATTAAATGATATGCATGTGACTTCCCATCTTCTAAAGAGTCTTTTTCAGAATATGATGTTTTTGTTTAAAAAACATGTTTTTGTCTTCCTTTGAAAGAATATGCAGTACCTTCTACGTAGTACGAAATAATTAAAGATGACATGGATATAAGAACTGTATATTTAAAAAAATTGTAAGTCAAGGGAAAAGAAATTTCATTTGAGACAAACTTAAAAAGAACTGAAAACATGAAAAACTATAAATAATGAAAAAGAAAAAATAACAAATTTAGTAAAAAAAAACCAATATTGGATATAGCAAAAATGATGACCAAAGTTTTAGGAAATAGAAATGGGGAGTTTTAAAAGCACAATATAGTAACTTCACCTGACACCAATGTGATGCATTTTTCTTATTCAAGTATGAAAAATATCAGAAATTTAAAAATAAACCTGCAGCAAATTCCAGATCAATGAATTTTTCTGTTGCCTCCTGATAAAAAAAAAGTATTTAGTCCAGAGTCTGGAAACAAATGGAAAAATAATACCAAAAGATCCCTTTTCATCTTGCACCCCATTAAATATGTTGTGTTTTTAACTACACTGTGTGCACAATTCTTAGGTGAGTATTTTGACCATATTATTATTTGTATGCAAATTTTCCATCTTCAAGCTCTATAACCTTGAATGCTTATTGGATATAAGCATATCAAGTGGTGTGTATTTGTGTAATTGTTCTGTAGTTGTTCAATAATACAATTAATCCACTAAAGTACAACTTGCCTAATAATTGTGTGCACAGTGTATACGTGGAGACAGATCTGGAAAAGATCATTACCCTCACATTCATTGTCTATATCAGAATCTAAGCAAAATCTAGAATTTCTTTAAACTAATTTCTTTAAAACTATGGTCTGCTGAGTTTTAACAAGAATGTTTAAAAAATCACTGTATTTCTATGAAGTAGACCTGAATAATTTCAGATTTAATATGTTCAATTTGAAGATACTCCATTCTGCTTCAAATCTGTAGCATATTTATCATAACTTTTAAAATTATTTTTTCATGTGTGCATTTATAACTAAGGCTTTTAATTTGAGTGGTTTCTGATCCAGGGTGTCTTACACCTTTTTAAGGCAACCTAAAGAACAGACTGCCTTCAAAAGTTGTGGGTGCTCCATCACTGGAGATTTTTTAAGAAGTGATTGGACTGTCATTTGTCCAGAATGGTATAGGCTCTCCTGCTTGAGCAGAAGATTGGACTAAAATCTCCAAGGTCCCTTCCAACTCTTGTTATTCTGTCTTTGACTGTTTCTTCATTTCATTTTAGCTTTTAAAATTTCTTCAGATTATGAATAAATTCGGCCTTTTACCATTTCACAGCATGGAAGAATGGAGGGCTGATGATTCCTACTTTATTTTCCCTTTGATTTTAGATACCATACTAAATTACCACCAAACAGCAATAATATAAATTAAGAATGGTACCAAGGATTTATTACTTGCTCATTAAAGAAAAGGATAAAGGATAAAATAATGTTTAAACTGGCAGGGAACCCTGGATCATAAATCACATCACAATATCCATATTACACATATGCAACATACATACATACAGACAGACCTGAAAATATTGCAATTCTTAAATTTAATACTGTTTTGAAATGAATTCATTACTAGAACATACTTTTTAAAAACATTTTTCTTGACTAATTTTTTCAAACCTCACATTTTAACCTGTATAAATAAGACACCAAGAATTTATTTTTAATAGGTAGCAAGGCTGCTTTTAAGGTAAATATTCATGATCATCTTTGGAGCTATGTTTTTGTCTACTAAATTGGAATTGAATTCTCTTATACAGTACATTGGATATAGAATTTTTATTGAAACTAAATAAATTATCGACTTCTCAACTAAAACAACTAACCTTTGGAGCCACCAAATAAAGTTTGTCATATCATCCAGCTCACATCTCATTTTCTTAAACAAAAAGTCATTGGGTAATTGTCAATGCTGCATTGAAATCATGGTATTTTATATCTCCAGCATTCCCACAATCTAGCAGGAAAATTTTAAAAAATGAGGTGAGGTTGATCTGGCAAGACTTCATGACAAAATTTATGCTGATTTCTCATAATGACTGCATTATGTTCAAGGTGAGTAACCAAGTGAAGTTTCTTGAATGAGAAGAAAAACATTTTAATGGTTCTTTGATTCTCTGCTTCCTGGAGACTTACTTTCTCTGATACATGTTAGTCCTCTTGTGATTTGCTTTAGTACAGTGGTCGCCAACCAGTGGGCCGGGAACCACTGGTGGTCCGCGAGAAAATTTTGGTGGTCCGCAGAGAAATGTCACCCGCAAAGCAATTAATCCAGGCTGTGTTGGGAACACAAGGCTGTGACGCCCACATGGCCTGCGGGAACACAAGGCTTATGTCGTTTGCATTGCAAACATGAAGTAGTGAGGGGAGGAAGGAAAGGGTGAAGGGGGTGGACTTGCCCCACTTGGCCCACACGCCTCGCCTGGCCACCGGGTGCTGCTTTCCACTTTTTTCTTCTCCTGCTTTTGGCTGCATGCAAGGAAAGCAGCAAAAGTCTTTCCTTCTCTCCCCCAAACTCCAACAGAAATGAGTCTTTGGGACCCTGCAAAGCCTCCTGCTCCAAGAGGCTGCGTCAGCAGAGACTCATTTCTGGCAGAGTTTGGGGGAGAGAAAGGTTTCTGCTGCTTCTGCTGCTTTCCTTGCATGAAGCAAAAGTCTCTCCCTCTCTCTCTCTCTCCCCCTGAGAACAGAGCTGGAAACGGTATCCTGCGATCCCAAATAAAGAATGATCAATTGGTAGGAAAATGGGGTGGAGAATTTTCCTGAAGACTTTTCTGGGGATTTTCCTAGGGTCTCTGGTCCGCAGGATTTAAAATTATGAGTTTGGTGGTCCCTGAGGTCCAAAAGGTTGGCGACCTCTGCTTTAGTATACCTATTTACTTATCTAATCCTTTGCCTTCTTCAAGTGAAATCTAGTTTATTCTTAGCAAAAAGATGCAATGATGAGATATATCATTTACACAGCAAAAGAGACCAGCACTACTTACCCTAATAACACTGTCTTACTGTATTCAATATTTGAACCACCCTGCTTGGGAAATGGGAGCTGTTTACAACTCTAATATAATTACATGACTTAAGAAAACAGAAATAACCATATGGCTTCCAAATTAGTATTTTTTGCATAGCTAGACGGTTAACTGGATGATAGATTTATACTACTGCTTGTATTGCAATATTTTATAAAAATTTGGAATAGCTCTAAAATAGTGATTGAGACTGAATGGCACTGTAAAATGAAGACTTGGATAGGAATTTAAAGACATTTTACTATTAAAATGTACTATTAATTAATGACAGAAAAATTCATAAATCTCTTCTTTAAAAATGTAACAGGAAGAAAGGAGATGAGACTATTTTCAAATTCCTGAAGGACATTACACAAAAGAATGCATTTCTTTATCATCCTACACAGCAGGTAATGGAATAATGACTAGAAGCCCTGAGTACTCAGATTTCAATTTAATATTAATAATACTGTATTAAACTTGTATAAACATGTACAGGTAGTCTTCAGCTTATGACCACAACTGAGCCAAAAATTATGAGACATTTGTTGTGAGTTTCACCCATTTAATGACCTATGACCTTTTACAACAGCTGTTAAGCAATTCAATGCACTTGTTAATAACAGGTTGTGAAGTGAATCTGGCTTCCCCATTATCTCTGCCTATCAGAAGATCGCAAAAGATAATCACATGACCCAGGACATTGCAACCATCATAAATATGTGCTAGTTGCCAAGCATCTGAATTTTGATCACATGACCATAAGTATGCTGCATTGATCAGTATGAAAAACATGAATAAGTCACCTTTTCCAGTGCCATTGTAACTTCAAATAGTCACTAAATGAACTGTTAAGTAGAGGACTACCTATACATTGAACTTGATAAATTATTGACATTAATGTAAAGTTAGAACAATCTGAATTGTCTGAATTACCCAGAAATTACCCAGTATACGTCCTGACATTTAACATACATATTCATCATTAACTGATACTAGGTGGGATGAGTACCAAAAAACGATTAGTACCAAAAAAAATTGGTTCCTATAAGACAAGGGTCTCCAACCTTGGCGACTTTAAGCCTGGTGGACTTCAACCCCCAGAATTCCCCAGCCAGCTTTGCTAGCTGGGGAATTCTGGGAATTGAAGTCCACCAAGCTTAAAGTTGCCAA